CAGAAGATTTTGTTCAGTGATGAGGCAAACTTTTATGTGAATGGTGAAGTTAACAAACAAAACCACCGCTATTGGTCTGACACTAACCCACATTGGATGGATCCCTCCAAGACTGTTGGAACAACAAAAGTGATGGTTTGGTGTGGTATATGGGGACAACGATAGTGGGTCCATTCTTCATCAATGGAAACCTCAAGGCCACTGGATATTTGAAATTGCTACATGATGATGTAGATGAACAGTTTCCTGGCAAGTGGATTGGTCGTCGTGGGCCAGTTGAATGGCCCCCAAGGTCTCCCGATCTGACCCCCTTAGACTTTTATCTTTGGGGTCATCTGAAGGCAATTGTCTATGGTGTGAAGATACGAGATGTGCAGCACCTGAAACTACGGATACTGGATGCCTGTGCTGGCATTTCTCCTGCGGTGTTGCTATCAGTGTGTGAAGAGTGGGAGAAGAGGGTTGCATTGACAATCCAACACAATGGGCAGCACATTGAACATGTCATGGTCCTGTGTCATGGCCCCACCGCCTGCCCTGGTTGGGTTGTTTTCTGTTTGTTTTTTTTTGGGGGGGGTCCTGAGTCTGAGGACTCAGTGTTTTGTGTTTCCTTATGCTTTTGTTCATTCCGAGTGTGTATTCTGTTGTGATTTTGCCATTTGTTAGGTTTCTGTTCTTTGCCTGCCTGCTCCCACTTCTCTGTGTTCCCTCTGTCTGTCCATGGTGTTATTGTGTCTGCTCATGAGTCTGCCTGTCAAGTTCAGTGTCCTGTCTGGTTCTCTGTGTCTGTTAGTTTCCTGTTTTATTCTGAAAGTTCATGTCTCATGTCAGTGTGTTCAGTTTTACCTCTCCCCTGTCTCGTTAGCCTAATTGCTCCCAGCTGTGTCTCCCTCCTGTGGCCCATTCCCTGATTACTCCCCGTGTATTTAAGCCCTGTGTTTTCCTGTGCTCTCTGTCGCGTCGTCTGTTTAGTTCCATGTCAGTCTGCATTATTCTGTTACCCGGTATTCATTCTGCGTCTCTCTGCCATCTCTCTTTGTGCATTTTGCTCCTCCTCCCGTGAGTGTCTGGTTTAAGTTTTGTTCTTTAGTTTTCCCAGTTTAGGTTTGTTTACTCCCCGCTCTGCTCTTCCTGTTTTGTCACCTTCTCACCGCTGTAAATAAACACTCACTCGCACCCCAGCCAGTACCTGCATTTTGGATCCTTTTTTCAATACACCACACGACTGCCCCCAGCCGTGACAGAACACATCTTATAAGTGGTCAGAAACTTGTAAATAACTCATGAAAGAATAAAGTTACGTTGAAACCAAGCACACCATTGTTTTTCTTGTGACATTACCAATAAGTTTGATGTGTCACATGACCCTCTTCCTATTGAAAAAACAAAAGTTGTATCCAAGATGGCCGACTTCTAAATGGCCACCATGGTCACCACCCATCTTGAGGAGTTTGCCCCCTCACATATACTAATGTGCCACAAACAGGACTTTAATATCACCAACCATTCCCATGTTATTACGGTGTATCCATATAAATGGCCCACCCTGTAGATTTATTTTCTTACTCTTCTTCTATTTATTGTTTGTTTTTGCACTGCTGTAACTGGAGCCTCGTCGTCTCGTCTCTCTATATACTGGACTGCATGTAGCGGAGATGACAATAAAGTTTACTTTGACTTCAGCAGCGAGCAGGCGCACCGAGGGCTCTCGCGCTCACTTTTCGCGTATAGAATTTCGAAAAAACATCGGTGCAAATTATAAGTCTGTATCATAATGTCTGGTGTTTTCGTGTTTGTTGGTTTGTTTTTATTTTGTTTTATTTTGCGAGTTGGTTATTAGATGCTGCTCCCCGACCGCCCCGCCCTCTCCTCCCTGTGCCGCAAGCAGCAGGCGCACCTCGCAAACGGAGGGCGCCCTTACTCCCAGCAAATGGGCGATAGAAAACCGATCGGTGCCTGTACCATTCCCAATATGCGCTGGCTGATGTCGGGGCAGCATGAGTACGAGCAATTATTTTTTATTTTTTTGCCGATAGCCCTGATCGCCCACGATGCCGCCCCGGGCAACCGCCCGTGTCGCCCGTATCAAAAACCGCTACTGATCAGGGACTGTCATGGTCCTGGGCCATGTTGGCCCAGTGTTCTTAGTTTTCTTGTATGTTTGTATTTTGTTCCTTATTTAGGCCATGTTTTCTGAGTTGCCCTGTTGTGTTGTTCCCTAAGTGTTTTCCCTTCATGGCTTTTACCCCCTGTGTGCCCCTCTGTGTATCTGTGAGCCCTCGTCTCTCCTTATGTTTTATTCCATGTTTCCCCTGCCCGTTATGTCTAAGTTCTCCCCGTGCTCTCTCTCCCCCCTGTGTGCCCTCTGTGTATTTATGAGCCCTCGTCTCCCTTTGTGGTTGTTTCATGTTTCCCCAGCCCGTTATGTCTGTGTTTTCCCCGTGCTCTCTCTCCTCCTGTCTGAACCTCTGTGCACTTCCTGTTTACTTTGTGACTCTCACGCCTGTACATGTCATGTTCAGTTCACCCCGCCCTGTCTCGTTATGATTATCAGTGTCACCTGTGTTCCCCGTGTGTTCCCACTTTCCTCGTTAACCCTCTGTGTATTTCTGTCTGCGTCTCCCTCTGTTCGGCGTCGCGTTCTCCCTCATGCTGCGTGGATTTCCCTGTGTCTCTCTGCGAGTGTTAGTTATTGTTCCCGGTTTAAGTTTTGTATTTCTTGTAATCTGCCTTCCAGCATTAAAGCTGTGATTTTGAGTTTATCCCCTGAGTCCGTGAGTTTGCATTTTGGGTCCTCATCCTGCCTGCCACGCAGCCGTATCATGACAAGGGACAAACAGAGACTGCAGCGCGTTGTGCGCTCTGCTGAGAAGGTGATTGGCTGCAAACTCCCATCTCTCCAGGACCTGTACACCTCCAGGACACTGGAGGCGTACAGCTCGATCACAGCTGACCCTTCTCACCCTGGACACAGTCTGTTTCTGTTAAGAAAACAAAATATACCATCTCAAAAGAAACACAACTCAAACATGCACACAACAAGACAACACAGCCTGTTCCCCTACAGCACAGCAGATTTCAACATAAGCTACAGCACTATAACCCAGCTCAGTGTATTCATCAGCAGAAATATCTTATTTGAATAGTTTTTAAATAGAGTGTTTGACAGCTTGTGTCATTTTTCTACAATGCCAATCCGATTACTCATATCATGTGAGGGTGAAGACAGCACTGCTTGATAAGATTGTCAAGGTGTGCTGTGTTTTGGTGAATATGTGCCCCAGTGTGGTTGTCAAACCAGGGCCAAATGAAACTTGCTCTTGTTGAATATTCATAAAACTGCTGTGTTGCATGTACAGTTCATTGTAAACAATTGTACTTCCTGTAAAGTGGTTTCGAATTAAAGAGAAAAGAAAAGTATGTTTTGTTTTGTTTTATTTCAAGATCTGTTCACATGTACTTAGCAAGAGTGAGTACACAGCGTGAGGAAGGCGAAAAGCAAAGAGCGTATGAAGGTAATATTGAAGAGGCTTGAGTTTTGAAGTGGTGAAAGGCAAAGGCATGAGTGAAGGTAATAAAGGTAATAAGGAGAGATGTAGAGCAGGCGGAGGACTTGGCTGGAGCAGGAAAAAGCAAAAGGGAAAGCGCGAATGCGTTCATCCCCGCCCCCCAAGCTAGGGCCGTGGCAGCGAGATCGTGGGGGTTCGAACTGGCGGCGCTCTGTACCAGAGTGCTCTGCCACACATTACGCCAAACGGCCGGCCGAGAGAATGCTTAAAAAAAGGACATTTATCATTTCTTCTCCAGCCAGCCAGCCCTTCTCATGGTTTTTCCAAAGTACACAGCACAGCAGATTCTGCAATATTCTTACACACTAATTACACATGGAAACCTACCTACTTCTTTCTTCATTACAAACAATTACACTTTCTGTAAAGTGCTTTCAATAAAACAGAAAAGAAAAGTGTGTTTTGTTTTGTTTTTTGCCTACAACAAAATGGGACCCAACCACTTTAATCACCCAACTTAAACTCCCTCACGCTCTGTCTACTATAGGGCGGAGGAGCGTCATGTCACGGCCCACGCCCCCTCCCGCCAAGTCTCAGCTATGCTTCCTACCAGCTGTGCTGTCGGTTGCAACCTTAAATCACACCATAGGGAAGGCAAGAAGCTGGAAAATCGCCTCTCTTTTCATCCTTTCCCCTCCTGGAGGCAACGGGAGTTCTCTCATGTATCCGATATTACTAAACGAAGACGTCAGGCTTGGATTGCAGCGCTCACACGAGCGGATATCGACTTCTCTGCCATCCCCAATTTTTTTTTGTTGTTGCATTGCTTGCGGCATTTGCTTTCCGGTGAGTTCTAAATAACTTCATATCTCTCTTAATAGGCTTTAGTGTTATTTTGAATGCGCTGAGGTCATAGATCATTAGATAAAACATCCTAATGTGGGATGCTGCACGAACCACGTGTTGGCAGGTTGAATTTCTTCAGCTCCCTCAGGAAGTACATCCTCTGCTATGGCATCATGGCCTTGGACTCATTTTTACACCTTTTTAATAGGAAAAAAAGAGGAATTTTAATTAAAAAATGTTTTGACATTTGTGAAAATGGAATTTTTCCTGTATTCATTTTTTTACATTTGTTTTGGTTTTTATTGCCTTTTGAGTCAAAAGTCTCCAGAGGCAGATGCTTGGTTTCCTGGTATTTCAAGACATTAGTGCAATGGAAAGGGATTTAAAAAAAGAAAGAAAGGAAACAGTGGAAAGTGAATCTCACATGAAGCAGAGGAGCTCAGAGTTCTCTCACTAGTCTAAATATCTTCAGAAGTGAGTGCAGATAGTAGTGGGAACATTTACTCAAGTACTTAAAATACATAAAGTCTGTGTTTCAGGTAGGTGTTTCCATGTTATACTAGATTCTGCTATTGTCATGGTTGGCTGTGTGGCAGGCGAGCAGAAGCGGTGGACGCAAAAATGCAGGAGTCTTGGAGACGGGAATAAACTGAAAACGCAGCTTTATTGCTGGAAGAATGATTGACAAAATAAAACTTACAAAAGGAAAACAAGACTGTAAAGCGAGGTGCTGGAGGACTGGACATTACAAACACACAGCAGGTTGACGGTACGACGCGACAGGGAGCCCAGGAAAACACAGGGCTTAAATACACAGGGGAGTAATTAGGGAATGGGCGGGAGGGAGGGAGACACAGCTGGGAGAAATCAGGCTAACGAGACAGGGGAGAGGTAAAACTGAACACACTGACATAAGACATGAACTTTCAAAGTAAAACAGGAAATAAGAAACAAATCACAAAACCGCAAACATATCCACAGTCATCCAGGACACACATACACACATATACATATATACACACTCTGCACAGTTATGTGTTAAAAATACAGTAGATCAGGTCCATCAGTCAGAAACGGAGCCTGGAGACGTGTGAGACAAAGCTTTTGTAGCTCTTTGTCGACGTTCCTCATAATATTTCTAAAAAAACAGAAAAGCGAGAAAACAAACATCGTTAGGCCAACAGTGTGATTTTGTGTGCTGAATCGTGTATATGTATGTGCGTGCGTACCTGCAGGTTGTCGTAGTGTTTCTGGCTGCAGCAGTGGAGTTCCTTGGCGGTCTTCTCATTCAGGCAGAAAACAGAGCAGATGTTACAGAAAAATCCTGATTTAGGGACCACAAACTCCTGACCTGCAGAGAAGCAGAAACAGGAAGATTAGACAAGTATTAACAACAAATTTGAATTTAGAGTGTGTGTGTGTGTCTGACCGATGGGGCTGTTAGGGTTGAACTGAGGCAGTCTGAAATCTGCTACAACACACGGAGACTGAGAGCGAGATGCTTTGCCTCAGTCCGACAAGCTCCCTCCTGCGTTTAGCCACAACTGAAAATGAAAAGAGCGACACGTTAATCATCAACGAATCTGCTACAGGAGCCACTGGGTTTATAAAATATTGAAACATTCAATTATAACTCAATAATAATTGAACAAATGATTTCGATTTACTTGAAAAGCTGAAACCTTCATCGGCCACTTTATTAGGTACACCTGTTTGACTGCTCATTAATGCGACTCTCTAATCAGCCAATCACATGGCAGCAACTCAGTGATTTAGGTATGTAGACATGGTCAGGTGACCTGCTGAAATTCAAACTGAGCATCAGAATGAAGAAGAAAAATAATTTAAGTCACTTAAACGTGGCATGTTTGCTGATCTTAGCATTTCAAAAACTGCTGATCTGCTGGGATTTTCCCACAGAAGCATCTCTAGGGTTTACATAAAACCGTCTGAAACAGAAAATATCCAGTGAGTGGCAGTTCCCTGGAGGAAATGCATTTTTGAGTTTAGAGGAGAATGAAATAACTGCTTCACGCTGACCGGAAGGCCAGAGCAAGCCAAACAACCACTTATTACAATGCACAAGAGTATCTCTGAACGCACAGCACATCCAACACTGAAGCAGATGAGCTACAGCAGCAGAAGACCACACTGGGTTCGACTTCTCTAAGCTAAGAACGCAAAACTGAGGGTACAATTCACACAGGCTCAGCAACGCTGTAAAATAAAAACACTGCCTGGTCTGTTGAAGCTCAGTTTCTGCTGTGACATTAGGATGGTAGGGTCAGAAATCTTGGATCCATCCTGCCTTGTATCAAAATCTCAGGCTGGTGATGGTGTGGGACATAGTCATCGCACCAACGGAGCATTTCTTAAACACCACATATGTAAAATATATTACTACCACCAGGCTGAATGTCTGTAGCACAGTGAGGAGCACAAATATGAGATCAGAGCCACAAAATATCACAACTTGTCTTTTTATATTCACTTTACTGTGTTTTGGCTGTCAGCGCGGTGTATTTTGCTGATTTAAAGCAGCTCTTTGTACCTTTAATGTCGGCCATGCTCCATCCATCATTCTCCTCTCCCTCCTGTGTCTCGTCATCAGGACACTTGGGCTCTGGCTGCTGTCCAGCAGGGGCGGCTGCAGCATCGGGCTGGGTCCCTGCTTCCTCCTCGGTCCTCTGGCTCTCCGCCTGGCAGTCACCTTTGCTCACTGCATCAGTCGATTCTGCGGTCTTCTTGGTTTTCATTTTGAGGTTAACTTTGTTGTCACCAGAGTCTTGCAGACGCTGTTTCAGGCTCTTCAAACTGAATTTAAAAGCAAAGATGCCAGTAGGTTACCACGAAAAGAGGTTTGTTGGCACAAAATGTTCATGTGAAATAAGAAATTCCATTTCAAATTCCTAATCTAGAGTTGCTTATATCTAAATCACATTCTTCTCTTTTTGCATCTTTGGGAACTGTTTACTACAGACGACCTTGAGGAGCGTATGGTATATTTGACTCTGCCACTAAAGCTGAAAAAGAAAGATACTCACGACTCAATACGTCCAGCTTTACTGCTATGAAGAGGAGAGAAAGAAGCACAAGGTCAGACAGACATGAAGACACTTTAAAGAAAATGAACAAACACAGTGTAAAATAAATTTCCTCTTTTTCTCACTTCTGATCGTGGGACACACTTACCAAGCAGATAAATAGTCCTTGGTGACTTTGCTCTCCATCACCTGTGTTAATCCACCAGGTTCGGCCATCTCAATGCATATCTGAGAGAACAGAAAGGATATTTGAGCAACACAGTGGTACTCAATGGGTGTGCTACAGGCACGATTTGTATTGTACAGGGCGATAAAGAATTTGTCCTGGCGAGTTTCTTTACTGCCCTGTACGATAGTACAAGGCAAAGAAAAAAAATCTTGGGGTTTTAAACTTGCAAATGGGAAATAAGTGCAAACATATTTCTATACTTTTGCAAAGTTTTTGATTGAACAATAAAACCACTGAGCAAGAAACACTAAAAGAATAACTTAGCGCTGCCTCAAACTGCAGGGATCTCCCCTGCTCGATGGGCCAGGACAAAAGGCTGAACAGGTCATAAGATTACTACTTGGTTGAGAACTTGGTGCATTTCAGGCAGTCCTTCTTCACCAGTGTTTGCAAAGGCATGTGTAATTCAGATTGCCTGCCGCAGGGATCTGTACATGGAATATTTAAACTTGCTCAACTCGTGTTAAAAAAACACAAAGTCTCCTTCAGACTCATTTAAAATGTTTCTCAATATGAAAAGAACAGCAGACACCATGACAAGCCTTGCAGCCTTCTGTAAAACATAAAAAAGTTGCACGTGTTTATGAAATCGTACCCTGTTGGCAAGCGGCAAGAATCTGACAAAAGCAGCGATGGACGCCACCACTTCCATGATCATCATGACAAGGTCCACATTCTACCAGTGTTGGATTTGTCAAAATCTGGAAGCAAGAAAACTGTCACTAATGAAGAAACATCAGTGGCTGTCCTAGCTTCATTCAGCAAGAGCCCACAGCGTAGCACTCGCCGCATGTCACTGGAGAGTGGCATTAGTCGAACATCCCTTCGGCGGATATTAGCTACTCACAAATGGCACCCTTACAAACTCCAGCTACTGCAGCATCTCAACGAGGATGACCCAGATCGGCCACAGAATTTGCAGAATGGGCAAAACAAAAATTGGAACAGGACCCTCAGTTCACGCAGAAGATTTTGTTCAGTGATGAGGCAAACTTTTATGTGAATGGTGAAGTTAACAAACAAAACCACCGCTATTGGTCTGACACTAACCCACATTGGATGGATCCCTCCAAGACTGTTGGAACAACAAAAGTGATGGTTTGGTGTGGTATATGGGGAACAACGATAGTGGGTCCATTCTTCATCAATGGAAACCTCAAGGCCACTGGATATTTGAAATTGCTACATGATGATGTAGATGAACAGTTTCCTGGCAAGTGGATTGGTCGTCGTGGGCCAGTTGAATGGCCCCCAAGGTCTCCCGATCTGACCCCCTTAGACTTTTATCTTTGGGGTCATCTGAAGGCAATTGTCTATGGTGTGAAGATACGAGATGTGCAGCACCTGAAACTACGGATACTGGATGCCTGTGCTGGCATTTCTCCTGCGGTGTTGCTATCAGTGTGTGAAGAGTGGGAGAAGAGGGTTGCATTGACAATCCAACACAATGGGCAGCACATTGAACACATTTTATAAGTGGTCAGAAACTTGTAAATAACTCATGAAAGAATAAAGTTACGTTGAAACCAAGCACACCATTGTTTTTCTTGTGACATTACCAATAAGTTTGATGTGTCACATGCCCTCTTCCTATTGAACAAAGTTGTATCCAAGATGGCCGACTTCTAAATGGCCACCATGGTCACCACCCATCTTGAGGAGTTTGCCCCCTCACATATACTAATGTGCCACAAACAGGACTTTAATATCACCAACCATTCCCATGTTATTACGGTGTATCCATATAAATGGCCACCCTGTATTTTCCAAGTCATCAGCATGCTGTGCTAGTTCCTCTACCCACTTCTTCAATGATTGGAGCTTGCCCAGGGTCACCGTCGTGACATCCGCCATAGCCAAGATCCGGGCGTCCGCTTCCTTTATGTGCGTGTCATGGTCCTCCAGTTGTTTCCCTTGTGCTTGTAAATAGCAGGGAGACCCGGCTTGAGTTTATCTTCAATGACTTCACAGTTACTTCCTGAATCACCTCACAAACTAATGGATGTGTTCCAATATTCAACTCTGCATCAGTTCCCATGCTAGTTCCCTCATTTGCCTCTCCGCTCTGCAAGTTGGGGTCCCCCACAGTGTTGGGTATTACAACTTTCCTTCACGGCATGTTGTCAGACTGTCCCAAAAAGTAGCTGCTAATGCTCATCCCAGGCTTACAGATAATGTCACTGTAGTAACTTGTAATAAATTGCATTTCTAAAGTTATGGGTGTAGAATCAGTGAACTGGTGTACTAGCACTCCCTAGTACAACCTCACTACAAGCTGCCATCTTGAAAACCAATGACCAATGGTCTTTTAAAACTACTTCAGCCTGAAATATAAATATCAAATATTATAGTTTTTGGATTTTACCTGTTAAAGAAGAAGAGTTTTGCCCTGTAAACACCATCAAAAATGAGCATCCCTACATAAGCCACTAAGTGTTTCCCATTCAAGGTTTTAGCATGGCCACAATTTGCTGCAGGATTTCATCCATCAGCAGCAGTGCAAACCTTTGGCTACTGGGAGGTAGTAGAGCATTGCAGTCTTTGTTGAAGACCAAAATATGGGGATAAGGAGTCCATCCTGTGACTGCTTCAACCATCTTTTCACTCTCACCTTCAGATGAGTCAGAGTTGGACTCCAGCTGGTCTGTTTCTACGTCCGAGGCCTCCTCCATGTCAGCCCGGAGGAGTATGATGTGTCTTTTCCAGAGGCTCCTCTATGCTGTAAAGTCTTGCCATCTTCTTGCAGAGTGCTCCTGCACTACTGCTCATACTTCTAACCATGGCTGCAGTGCAGTTGCATGAATTACCTGAGCTTTGGTTCTTGCTGCTGAGATAGCTTTGAAGCTCTGAAAGGTCACCTATCAGTAATTATTATTGAATTAGTTTATAACACACAGTGTGGCCTTCTAAGAAAAAAAGACTTGCACACACAAAATTATCTAACATCATTAGCAGCACACGTTCATCATTTCATTAGCAAGACACCCATTTGGTTGGACAAATATAAAAACAAAACATTAAAGGCAAGTTGTCAAAAATGAAATCTTAGCATAAAGGAATTCGTTAGTTGATTTGGGATCAAAAATTGTATTTTCACTTGTTTAAATGGGACATGTTTTGGCCAGAAGATAAATTGTGCCGGCTTTTGCATGGCTTAGCCATTTTAAGCTTATTTAAGGAAATGAGACAACAATTCTAAAATGAAAATAAAAAATTATATCTACTAGCAAATATGGGGTTTTATTCGTTCAGCGCAGCCAAAATAGCACAAAAATTAAAACTTGGAATGGCACAAAATGTGCCCAGAATCATATAAGAGTTAAAGATGCACTTAAAATAGGTTCTCTTTGACAGCCATAATCGTAGAGCAAAACTGCTTTACAATAAAAAAAAATAGCAACTCTGGGAGTGAATGGTAAATGGACTTTAAAGCACTTTTCTATTCTATCTGTGCACTCAAAGCGCTTTATAAAAGCTGGGACAATTCCTGAGTCAGATCATTCTGTATCCAACATTTAGACCCTGATGGATGCATCTGTGAACAACTTTGGTATCTTTCAAACAAACTGGATCAGCCAGGGACCAAAACACCAAAACTTCCTGAGGTACATCCACCCCGGCGTGACATTAAAATTGCCTTCTGAGAATGCACTTAAAGGTCCTCTGCTGCCACCCTATGGTATAGCTTCAGAAACAATTTGACATGTTTTTTACTTAATGACATGATAATAGTAAGACATGGTAATATTTTTTAAAGACTGAGCACTAAATGTAACACTGTCAATGAAATAGCATTTGTACTTAGAAATATAAAACAATTAGTGAAACACAAAATGTAAATACAGATAAAGGGATGAATATTTATAATATTGACAATAATATTTTTATATGTGCAATAGCAGGAACTGGAAGTGCACACCACATCAGCAAACAAACAAAATCACTGAAACTAGTGATCCTCATGATTTACTGCATTGTGACAGGTGTGATTTCTGGTAACAGCTCTCTACTTGCGCTAGGAGCTTTAAGAGTGAAGAAGGGTTATATGGGAAGAGCTTCTTTGTGTGCAGCCTCGTTACCACCTCTCTAAGCTGTGACAAACAATGGAGTGCTCTGACTGATATTTCACCTGTAAGCTGCCATGACAGAGATGCCATGTTTGCGCGTGATGTTTCTTCACTCTGCAACACTGGCTGTAATAATCCTTCCGGTCTTGGACTCAGTAAAGCTGTTGACTTATATGGTTTCCCATTCAAGGCACAGACAGATTCCACTGTATTCTCAGAATCAGACTCATCAGAAGTATCATACTCTACAAGGCGAAGCTCTGAAGCCATACCTAGCCTTCCAGCTGGTGGAATAACACAGGAACCAGATTCTACTTTATCTGGCTCTCCTTTACATTTCAATGTTGACCTATCGGCGCCTAACTTCTTCTGCTGTGAAAGACAACAGTCTGACATAGTGATACGTCCACATGCTGCAGCGAAGCCCTGCCAATCATCTCGGAGGCATTTCAAGTACTGCACAAAGTACTCCAGGAAGCAGGTTTCAGCTGAGATCAGAAAGTCTAGGAGGATGCTATAGTCAAAGGACATGCTCTGAAGCAGAAGCACAAAGTGACAGTGAGGGTTAAAGCCAGATGCACAGGCCGTCTCCAGCACTGCAAATTCATCCATCCCAGAAGTCAGTCTAAAAATGAGAGAAAAATCTAATTAGAACATATCACGTAAACACTAACAGCTTATTTGAATTTTTCTCTTCTGGTAAAGTGAAAGACAGTGAAGTATCAGTAAACAGTGACAGAAACACACACATGTATATTTTAAATCTGAATACTTTTACATGTGTAGAAGTTATCTTTAAGCATCTTTAAAGATGGTAAACTAACACCAGGACCTCTTTACCATTATAGTTTTTATATCATACCCAAATCTGGTATCTGTTTTACCTGTAATGAAGAAATGTGTAGAGCAGAGCTTTAGCTGCCTCCATCATGTCATCATCCTGTTCTCCAAACAGCATGCTGATCCAGCAGCAGAGATGAGTGACCGCTCTCTGTTTGAACCTGTACTGTCTCAGGAAGCCCCACAGACTCTGCAGGTATGCATGAACCTCTGTTGCAGTCTTCACTTCTGTGTTGAGAAGATAATCATACGCCTAAGTCACAGCAGAAAGCATATAAAGGCTTTTAAGATCATTGGTAAACTTTCTGGGTGAAACCTGACCTGTTTAGAGAAAGAGATTAAAGGTAAAGACCCGACAATAATACAAAGAAAACTGCAGCAATCAAACAACCTCCGCTGAGTAAACATTTGGCGACAGTGGAATGGAAAAACGAAACTCTTTTAAAAAAAAAAAAGTAAAAGTAAAGTGTGCGTGTTAGTCCCCATGGGGAAATAGTTCCTCTGCATTTAACCCATTCACCCAGTGAAGCAGTGGGCAGCCACCAATGCAGCGCCCGGGGAGCAGTGTGTAGGGACGGTACCTTGCTCAGGGGTACCTCAGGGTAGCCGTTCAGTGGAGTCGAACCCCCGACCTTCCGATCATGGGGCCACCACTCTACCTACTGAACTATCCCTGCCCATTGGAGGACATAAAGGACGAAACCTCCGTCAGAAACTCCGTCAGGGAGGAGCAGCCATCTGCCGCATAACCAGGTGTGGGTGATGGCAGAGAGCCAGGACAAAAACATTTTATTTATTGATATCGATTGTCCACCTGGCACTTCGAGCTTCTCTCTAATTTATCACACTCAGTTCAGATAAAATAATTACTGTGGGTGACTTAAACATAGATGCAGC